TAAAATTCTGCACGTGTCCTTAATAAACCTTTTGTTTGGATCCACTTGGCCACAGTCAATATATGTTTAGACTATTTCCATTACAAAATGGCAAACAAGATTTGTGTTGATTCCAAATGGCCGCACAGGTCTGCCAATCCAATATAAATCACTGTCCAATCATTCTGAGATGCATTACGTGTCCTTGCATTTCCATCAAATTTACTATTTCAAGTAGATCTTTTGTAGAAGACATCATTTTGACCACTGAAAAAACAACTTCAAGTTCACCTCTGCACATTCTGATTCAAATTCACAACTTGAAACAAACTTGAAACATTTTAGGACTGTAAATTACTTTAAAAAAAAAACAACAACAACCTATAAATCACATGTTAGCAGGTGTTAGCAAGAAAGTCCAAAGCGGTGGGGGTCTAAACTTTTTTCACTGAGGACCACATATTGAAACATTTTAGAGACCCACCAAATATTTAATAAGGTCTTGAAACATTAATTTTAGTTTGTATCACAAAGCAATGTGATGATATTGAGGTTATAGTTGTAGAAATACTTAAAATTCATGCATGATCAAATGGTCCATTTAAGCAGAAGGCTTAAGTGCCAAAAAAAAATTGGTTCCAGGACCGCTTTTGCCCTCCTTGTCTATAGGAATATCCTCTTACTAGTGTATATTGTTCTATGCCAGTTCCATAGAAACCAAACAAAAGCAACCTCTTCTATCTTTGACAATTTTCTATCTGTCACAGTCCAAATCACAATTCTTATGCCAGGTTTTAATAACATTTTGACAAATCCCTCCAAATTGTTCTCACTCCAAATCTTACACTCAACGTTCCCACTTCACATCAACTTTGAACACTGCAGATAACACAATCAAATAAGTCAAATTCCCAAAACAACTAACAACTACACTGAACAGATAAGCAGTCATTTTGTATGTACAGCCCCGTCCCCGGTCGACCGCAGAGAGGAGCAGGTCCGCGCTCCGTGTGCTGCTTGGGGACCCTTGACGCTGTAAACGGTTGTGAAAGGGCCAGCGGTTTGTGTACAAGTGGCACATGCTGAAATCTCCTCTCACTCAAGGACGCTCGCAGAACACTTGGAGCAGACATTGCATATCGTTGAGTCTGCCGGCCTCTCTGTTGGCTGCATGATAAAAGGGGCATTATGGGAGCCTTTTGCACTCCACTCGCCGGGTAAAGGGGAAATCGATTACTGTCAATATAGATGCTTTGATTACTTAACAAACACCTTTAATTACAGAATTGGCGAAAAGATTAAGCCTTCATCTGAGAGAACGCCCAGTAACGCAAGGTCTAGAAAAAAGCTGCAGAATTGAGGATATATGTTGTGCCAAATACGTAAAGACATGGAGGAAAATAAAGCACTTCAACTGGCCAAATCGTGTAAATGTCCAAAAATATTAACAGTAGCTATGTAGCCCATACTTCCACAATGCCAGCAGCGTATTTCAAAATATAATATGTCCACATCCAGCTTAAATATTTATGTTACGCCCCACATTGCCTCGTACTTTGAAGATTCATAGACCAAATATATGTATATGTATGTGCATGTATCAAATATAAACATTGATGATATGGGTTTCAGATTCAGAATCCATAACTTTTGTCAGGCTACGTTTATATGATGACGGTCTGAACAGAAGACGTAAAAGGGGCATCGCGTCTTCGGTTTTATTCCGCGTTTAGACGAGCGTTTTCAGGAGGATATCTGCGTGCATAGGGTGACGCAAAAGAAAAGTGTGTGGAATTCGAATGATTATGCTTGTACTTAAAGCAACAAGAGGATTTTTGAACATACGGAAGTTTTCACGTCACGGATTTTCATCAACTACTCCTTCCATAAAGTTGTCCCTGGTTCTCCCAAGTCTCGTCCACATCCTCTGCTCCTGGTGTGGACCTCTGATGGTGCTTTCTCAACTTGTTCGTCTGTATTCAGCCTCACATTCTACTTGGTGTAGTTTTGTGTATTTTACCATGTTAATGTGTGTGTGCCTGCGTGTGTGTGCCTGTTTGTGAGTACATGTGTATACATGTGTGTGTTTGGGGTCGGGCAGGTGTGGGGGTTGGGTTGGTGGGTGGGCAGAAGGAAATGTGGGATTGTTTTTAATCAATGTAAAGCACTTTGTGTTACATTTTGTATGAACTTTATAAATAAAGTTTGATTTGATTTGATCCGTCTGACTCGGCTGCGACAAACTGGTGCATCCAGATTTTGACAGAGGTAATTGCAGATCTTTCTCTGTTCACTAGTATCTCTGCATATTCTGTACATTTGTTGGGATGCCTCCTGTTAGTTTTTTAGCTGCAGACGCATGGAGATGATCCAACATGTTTGTTTTTGTGTACTGTCTGTATGTGATGTAAACACGTTTGTGACTTGAGCAGATCTGACCAGAGTTTTGCGTCTTGGGCAGTGTAGACGGAAACGTTACGGCGAAGCATATTCAACTTTTCCACTCTGGAGGGTGGTTTCAGATTTTTGCGTTTTAAAGCCGCAAAAACACCATCACCGTCTAAACGAATGGCACTTCCGATAGAATATTTTGTCATTTTTACCTGCAAGCTTTCTCGTGTAAACAGGCCCTTAAATTACAAGCTTACATTTTCTGTTGTCTTGGTAACAGACAGCCCAACTTCAAGAATATAATCTCTTTTGCCATACACGGCCCTTCTAATACAAAAAATTACAGTATATTTAGGTGATCAACAACTGTTTAAGCAAGGAACACAAAGACCCTTTTTATTCGCACCAACTTCAACGCATTACTCGCACAAATGTATCAAGCTTTGTTCTTTCTATTAAGCCAAGACAGCTGGTTTTGCTGCTTATAAATCATTACAACGAACTGGTAAGTACAGTCTGCATGTGACAGTGACTGAATTCTGACCTAGTTCTTCTTTTCCTTCACTTTGTACAGCGCTATATGCAAACGGCGACAACACAAAAGCAATCAAAAGCCTTATAACTGCAGGCAGAGATATTGAATCTTCCCTGCATCCTCCCAGTGGCAGCGAGAAGCAATATTCGGTACACATGATGCAAGACGGCAAGTATGGAGAAAAATGATGAAAATCCAGAAAACAGAAATCGCTATAGCAACTACCTATAGCACAAACATTGACGCGCATCTATGTGTGTACGTCTGGCAGTGGAAAAATCTCTCTTATTTGTATGGGAAATGAGTGGGCAGCAGTATCTCCTGAGTTCATTATCTGATAGGCCAGTCTTTTTTGAGCCTGCTGTGGTTTGGACAAATCGCTTGCCACATTTCACCGGGGAGCAGCGTATTATGTTCCAGCAAGAGTCAATTAACGTCAACAACTGATGAGATCATCATGTAGCGACACGTAGCAGACACCACCCCAGTGAATCATCGAGAGAGAGATGGACAAATACAGATAGCCGGGGTTGAGAATCTAAAGGGGTAAGTGGCAGCTTGGCACAGTCAAGTTTTAAATCAAAGGGTAAGGAAATGGAGATGGGATAATAGAATGGAAATGGATTCAGAAATTATAATTCAGGGACTAACTTTTTACTTTTTTTTTTACATAGAATATCATAAGAATTCATAAAATATCTGTTAGTCTGTTAAATATTCGATAGGTATTGACCACAGTTTACCATTCTCTATTCCTACCGATACAATACTGATATCTGCGCCGATATTGAGCGATTTTATGGATTTGATATCGGTTCCATCAATATCAGATCTGTCAATATCCCATTTTGGTCTATAAATTTGTGAAATAAGCAGATTTACTGGACAAACATCTTGTAGAGGTAATTCCACCTCAATTTGCCCCCCCCCCCAAAAAAAAAGGATATTTGGCATGTCTTAAGATGAGGGTATGTCAATTTCTAAGTACATTTGAGTGAAAATAAAAAAGAAAACCCAGACAAATTCTTTATATGTTGTAGTAGACATATAGTGCTACATTTTTTCTATTGGTGCCACTGAGGACGGGCGTGTCCTTTATTGTCAGTTTCAAAGTCAAAATATAGGTCAAAAGGTAATTCATCTCAAAGATTTGGATTCCTTACGGGTTCCCCTTTCCAGAGATACCTTGGTTTTTGATATCGGACCAGTAGTTGCTGAGTAAAGGCAATTTGGCGATCAAGCAAAAAAGTGGAAAAAATGAAATTGCGATATCTTGGAAACTGTTGGTACGATCCAACAATGAGCAAAGTAGGCTTTAACTCATTGGGTAAACTGAGGTGGAGTGACCCATAATAGGTTTCAAAGCTGTTCTGTAGTTCAGTCTCTGCCATGGTATCGGTTCGGTATCGGTAAAGCCAAAGTATCATCAAAGTATCAGTATCGGAACTAAAAAAAAGCTGGATCTAAATTTCTCACTCATATCCGTATGATATAACAGAACAATTTTTTTTTTTTTTACACAAAGTTCACACAAATGTTTTAACCACAAGCTGAGTGTACTGTTTTTGTGTCTGTGTTGTTGCTCTTTATGTCAAACGAGCTCTGAGAGTGTGAAAATGAATTTCCCCTTGGGGACAATAAAGTCTAAAGTCTAAACACATTCATAAATAATTCTAGCTAATTTATGTTAGAAAAGCCCAGTGAACATGGACTTTCTGGATGTACATAATGAAAAAGTAGTACAGCTGCCATAGGAATTAACAATTAAAAAAAAATATTGCATGATGGAAAGTCATTAAAAAGTTATCAGGGAGTCAAAACCCATTATTTGATTCTTCCTTGATTTAAAGAACTTGATGCACCTTTAACCGTTCACAAGATAAAATACTTTCTTAATCACTATGAGGTGCGCTTGAGATAAAGCGGCAAGACCTGAATTTTCCTTCGGGGATCAATAAAGTATTATCTATCTAAGGCGATGAAGAACGTAGCCATAGACTGAAACCCGAATGCCACTTTGAACCCTTTAGTTTCTCATCCCTGAGTTTGTTCTTACCGGCGTCACGGCTCGTCACTTCAGAGCAAAAAAGGATATGGGTTACATACGACGCGCAGACACCAGTTGCGAGGCCTCGTGGTTTGCTTTAGGCAGAAGAAGGCCACCGGTGCCAGGGCGGGGTAGGGCTGCTGCTCCTCCTCCTCCGATATACAGTCTGGATCGCGGATGGGCGCCCTTATCCGGACCCCTAAACTCGGTCCAGGCCCCGCCCCCAAATCCGTCTCTTCCATATCCCGATCTTCTTCCTGAATCTCCGAACTCCAATCTCCTACCTGATCCTTCTCCTCTTCCTCCTCCTCCACCTCCTCCGCGACCTCATCGTGACCCCTACCCCCACCGCCGCCACCGCCGCCGCCGCCGTTGTCGTCGTCTCCGCCCGGGTCGAGGTCGTCCGGGGCGGGGAGGTTGTTATGGTAACGGTGGGCGGGTATGGCCAGAATCACCTGGTCGGGAGGGGGCGACTCGGGCTCCGGGGCATCCTGGTCTTGTCCGGCGGGCTGCTGGACCTCTGCGTACTCAAAGCGCGCTCTCCCCTCGCCATCAGTCATGATAGAGCGTCAGGCCGAGCCACTCTGAAATAAACAACAGAACAGACATGAGAATTTTGGTAGATTTAGGGGAAAAAAATATCAAATTGTGATTTATGTTTTAATAGGATTTGGCACTTTTTTTGTCCAGATGAACTGACAGAAAGCCTGAAATATAAACTGACAAACACAAAACACAACACAAAAATCACATTTCAGAAAATATTTGTGCAGTTCTAAACTACAGCAAGCTATTTTGTTGTTTGTTTAGAGAAATTATGGCACTTCAAAAACTGCAGCCTCTGCGATTTGCTAATTGCGTCCAGTCAAATTGTGATTCATTTTATAGCCTTAATATTTGGCTATATCAGAAGTACTCATTACTAACTCAATTAATTCTAGGATAGTTTTTTTGCAATTTTGTCTACTTTAATGTATTATGTATATGTATATTATGTATGTATAGTATTTATTGGTCCCTGTGGTAACATTTGTCCTCTGAATTTGACACTTTCTTTATTCTTCATTAGTAATGGACGCCACAGTGCAGCTCCCCATGGACCCATCCCCAGATCTTGGATGAACTCTTAACTTTAAATATGTTTTCTTTTTGTGTTACTATTGTTGGACTTTGAATTTCCTTCAAGATCAATAAAGTGTCTATCTTTCTGTCTATTTTTCCATCATCTTGGGCTAGTTTTGGTCAGTATCTTTGCTGGAGGATTAGTCTGTTGCGCTTGTTTTAGGTTATCTGATGGCTTGTGTTATTGTAGAAATTTGTGTCAGTGTAATTCTCAGCATATTTTGTTGTACTGGCTCTGCTGCAAGACCACAAAGCACCTTGGTCTATGTAGTTCATGCCACTTTTCCCCATGACAGTAACAAAACAATAGCATTTTCAGCAGGGACATACTGTATATTGGAGAGTTGCATCAGAACGGCGTATTTCCTTTAAAAATAGGACAATTCCTTCACTTTAGAAAGGGGCAGAAGGTTTGAAATGTGATCTTGTATGTCTTGAGGTTTTGTTCAAATGGGAGATATGATTGCAAGGCTAAGCGGGAGTGGTATTTGGTCCTAATACTCGTAGTAGGCCTGTCACGAACTGTCTCTGACTCTGTGGAAACACTGTGTGAATTCTAATGAAGGGAAAGCATGTTAATTGCTCCAGTGAAATATTTTATACTCATAACTGTTCCATAACATATTTATTAACAACGATACAATTATATTTCCCTCATAAGATTATATCGACTTCATATAATTCAATATATGAAAACTGGAGCAATATATTTTGGGTCGTATATTTGTCGTATGTACATTTTCTTTGCAACAGTGGAGCGATTTTTGACATTTTCATGTAATACAATAAGATTTGAGCTGTAGAGGGTTGAAAAAATAAGTTATATCACTAATTATTGCTTCTTTCTGCTAGGCTTTTTAATTATATTGTCTATTTAAATGCTGGTTTACTTGGACTGCTTCGTGTCAGTGTCATAAAGTAGTTTCAATATTGTCATTAACCTTAATAATTCTCATGATAATGCTTCAAAATTTGATATTGTGAGATTCCCAATTGGTTGAAATCTACACTTTGGTTCCCTCAGAAGACGGTGATAACGGTATCTACTTGTATATCACTTAACCTTTGCTGAGTGCCTTTGTTGACATTAGATGGACAGCCACTAGTGTGTGTAGTGATCGATTTGATCAGAAGAAGTGGACGGGTCTTTCTAGGAAACCAGAGCTAATCCACAGTTTGTCAAACGTCTTTAAAAGAACATAAACATCGCACTTTATTGTCCCTGTAGGGAAATTCGTCTTGTGCATTTGAACCATCCTTTAATTCTGCTGGGTCAACTTGTCAGGAGAAGCGATGTCAGGAAGAAAATCCATCCAGAAACAATGAGAAACACGCAAAGTCCGCACAGAAAGGCAAAGCGAGCAAGGGAAAGGGCTGGGCAGTCTTAGATTTGAACCTGGAACCTTATCGCTGTGGGGTGAGTGCTCAACAATCCCTACAATCACTTGCCTGGAATGGAGTAACAGCCAAATATTAAAGAGCTTATATTATGATGTTGTGTCCTCATCAAAAACAAACCTGGCTTTTAATTTTGCTGTTAATGTGTCTGAAACTGCAGCTCTGTGACATCACGAGGTGAAACAGAGCATTTAAAGCTTTGGAGATGTAGCCAGACTAATAATAAAGGGTTACTCAAACATGTGTGAATGAAACAAAACAAGTCCAGGTCTGTTTGTGATGAGGTAACAAAAACATTACAACATTAAAGCTCACAATAAGAGACAATTCTGCATGACACAAAACCTTTAAGCAAATTTTCAAGTATCATCAGTAGAATTTCTTTTATGGTTTCGCTCTTATCAAAAGCCACGTTTTGATAAAAGTTCACTTAACCCTGAAAGCAGAGTTGCATCACAATTTTTTCCTTTTAGGGCTAAGCTCAGAACCAGCTTTTAGACTTTATATGGTCAGAATGGAAAGCCTCTTGCCCATCACTCGAGCTTGCTTGGCGGGGAGGCTGGGAGCGCTCTGTCTCCCTCTCCCGTCTTGTTGCTATGTGATGAACAGATGGGCTGCTCCGTGCTCTGCTTTACTGGAGGTTTGCGTTGCCCGCACCACGCAGTAGTGGGCAGGGTAATGCGGAAAAATCACAACACGCTTAAAAGCAAAGAACACAGACCGAAATCTACCTCAAACTTCTCGAATTCGACTTGTAAAATCGAATAAAACACTTTGGTTGCTTTTGCGTTTTTTTCACTAATGGGTTCTGTTTTATTGCCAGTGTTGGAATAAGCACTTGGCGCGCACGGAATTGAAACAAAACCCGTTGCCAAACACGATGAAAGCAAAGTGTTTCAATGTGGATCTTTACGCGCAAAACGTCCAAAAGGAAGAGCGCGCCCATCACCTGTGCGGTCGCCTCTTTGTCTTGAAACTCCTCACCTCTCCTCCATCAACCAAGCCCACTCCAAACACCAAAAACAACCGACAACAACTTTATAATCATCAAATACCTTAATAAGACGGAATAGGAAGTTCCCATAAGCATGATCCGTGACTTTCCTTGTTGCTAGCAGCCTCTTTTTCCCAGCAACCCTTTTTTCTTTTCCCGGAGATAAAAAAAAAATCTCACTATAGTTCCGTCTTTACGCAGATGCAATATAATCCAAAATCGCGGGGAATATCCACAAAGAGTCAGCTGAAGAGCGTTTTGGTTGTTGCGTTAACGTTGAGTGTAATAGTTATCCAAAATCTCTCCAGGATCCATGTTCGCCGAGGTGTCGTTTACGCAGCGTGGAGCGGAGACGTGCGCTTGGCTCGTGGGTACTGTGGACTGTGAGAGAGTGTGTGTGAGTGAGTGGGCTGCTCTGACACTGGGAGAGAGAGGGAAACAGAGATGGAGAGAGAGAGGGAGATGGAGAGAGAAAGAGAAAGAGAGAGAGAGGCGACTGAAACTTGGCCCCGTGACGTGACGCGCGCAAAACAACGAAAAATGTGCCACCGTGTACGCGCGCCGGGCCACTCTGCTTGAGATAATGGAAAAGGAATAAAATATATATTAAGACTCCATAGCATACTGCGGAGGAAGATGAGAGCGAGCGAAAATGTGGAGGAAAAACAAAAAAAAAGAGTGGAATTACGAGGATACGATCGCTCAAACGCTAATTCATGGCTTGGTTAAACAAACTATTGGCTATATTGGAGTGTTATTTTTCACAGCCTTTGAGATCCCCCTGTCACCACGCGCTATTGCCCCAGTTGTAGCTTTCAATAACGCTGAGTAGGAGCCATTTGTTCAGCGGTAGTAGTGCGATAAATGAAAGTGAATTTACGCTGAAACTGTGCAGGTAGATCTGTGCCATGTCAGGGGTTAACTGTGCCAATACTTGTAGTGGTCTTGATTTGTCACTTGGAGAGGTGAGGTTTTTTTTTCTATGCGTTTTGTTTCACTTTTTGTAACAGATTCGTGGTATTAAAGGGCCCATATTATGCTTTTTTTCTATAATGTCATAATAAACACATCCACAGTTGTGTTTTGTTTCATTCACACACGTTTAAGTTTTGATCCTGTCTGTCTAAATACTCAGTTCCACGGGTGTAACAAGGCTACTCAGCAGATTGGAGAAAAACATATAAAAGCCGAGGGGAGAAAAAAAAAAAAAAAAAAAAAAAAGGTCACATGATCTGGGAATTGAACCCTTGACCTTTTAGTGAGATGGGAGATTGGATAGACTCCAGCGAAACAGTCAATTTGGTGATTTGTCACTATATCATGCTCGCAGACCAGGTTGGAATCAGCTTACCTCTAGTTTCTAGCCGCACACTCGACCCACTGCACCTCTTGCCTCTTTATCTTAGCAAATAATAATAATAATTAATATTTGGCATATTGTGTGTAATTAACTGTCTCAAAAAGAGCCAGTTAAAATGTATAAACCTACATTGTAGTCTATTAAACAAGAGATTTAAATAACATTTCTGCACTTTTGTAGATAAGTTTATAATCCAATCACTTTTGTCTGATACTTAAACCTCAATTTAATATTTAAAGAAGCTATATGTAAATTTAAACTTTATAAACCAATCTGCATCCACATATTCAAGTACATGTTTTACTGATAACAATTCTACTGTTGACATTTATGATATAATTGACATTAAAAACAAGCCTCACATCGATCTCTCATCTGGGTTGCCAGTTTCAACGCTGAAAGTCAGTTGATTTAAACCTAAAAGGACTCTCTCTGATCTGTATCGTCACTATCTAAACCCCAGCGCTTGCAGGCAATCATTAATCAGTGCTAAGGCAGACTTTGCTGCTCAGTGACTGAATTCTGGAGGGAAACTTGTCTAAATTTACTGGCTCTGGCAACCCAGCTTCAGTTGATATTCTAGTAGTCTACATTTTTTAAAAACTGTAAAACCACAGGCAAGTTACAGTTTCTTCAAAGTGTTAGTACCACCTCTTTCGGATGACACTGTAACGTTCTACTAACCT